CTGAAATCAACAAAATGAAAACAATACAAAGAATAAATGAAACAGAGTTGGTTCTTTGAGAAAAATCAACAAAACAGATAAACCTTTATCCAAACTAACCAAAAGGCAGAGAGAGAAGATCCAAATTAACAAAATCAGAAATGAAAAGGGGAACATAACAACAGACAGGGAAGAAATACAGAGAACCACCAGGTCATAATTAAAAAACCTGTACTCTTTCGAAAAGTCAGAATCATATGCTATTCTTATGATACTAAGGGATTTTAAGGAAACCTCTCAACATATATATTTGAGTCAGCAATAGTTGCTGACTGACAATATGCAGAGTTATTTTGCATACTGAAACCATTGAATTTATAACAGATGACACTTTATTATTTATTCAGTTACAAGATACAATCAGGACTAGGAATCATCCCATATACGTAACACACAGCTGACCCCATACAGGTCCAACAGGTCCTGTAGCACAAAGCAATGTAGAAACTGATCAATTATTGATTGGAAATGTGCTGAAGGCCTCAGAATTTCAAAAAAGAAACATCGTGACAATAGCAAAAGTTTCTAAAAACTTTTCCATCACGTGGCAACAAGCCAAGAAAATTATAAGAAAATGTTCCTACTTGTTCTTTATACAACCATACAACCAAACACCACTACCTGCACGAAGTAACCCAAAGGGTACTTCAAAGAATGAAATCTGGCAGATGGATGTGTTCCACTTTGTAAAATTTGGAAAACTAAAATATGTACACCATACCATTGATACTATTCAGGTTACTCGGTTAATATCTCCTTTTCAGATCTCTGAGGGAGTTGAAGACTTTATAGTTATAGTTTTCCTTGTTTACCAGACTCAAAAGAAACTCACTGAAGAGGTGTAAAGTGTAAAAGGTTGAGAGACATTAAAAGATAATTTGACAATGCAAATTAGAATAGAAAGTGAATTAAGTACAACCTTTTGGGCTCATCAATATAGGAATGATATGGAGCATCTTCTCTGAATTTGTGAAATGCAAATGAACTAGACATTGTTGATGTATTTATTGCCTCTATATATTGTATATAGTTATTGTACTCATTGCATAGTTTTTCTTATATTAGGTATAGTCTTCCCTTTTATTTTAGATAATAAAAGGGAATGAGAGTGGTACAGTATTTGTGTTTTAATAAGTAAAGCTTGCCCGAATCAAAATGCAAAGCAGCCATACTACTCAGTCATATAGGCCAGACAGTGGAGGCACACACCTTTAATCCCAACAGTCACACTAGTTAGCCATAGAGGCTGGACAGTATTGGTGCATGCCTTTAATTCCAGCACTAGATAGGAATATCAGACAGGAGATCGGTCTCAGTCTGAGGATTCCTAGAGGCAGGTTAGCCCATTTCTGTCTGAGGTTAGAGTCAGAGGCAGGCCGCTTTGCTTTTCTGATCTTCAGCTTGAAACCCAGGATCTGTCTCTGTTTTATTTTTTCCCCAGGGTCTCTTTCTGCAGGCCTAGTTATGTGGAACTTGCTGTTTAGACATGGCTAGCTTTGAACTCAGAGATCTTCCTGTCTTTGCCTCCTAAATTGTTGCCAAGGTTTTGCTAGATACTGCGTGTTGGTCTTGCCTGAACTCACTGTGCAGGCTAGGGTACCTTTGAACTCAGCAATCCTTCTGCCTCAGCCTCCTGAGTGTTGGGATTATAGGGATGTGCTACCATCCTTCCTCTTGAGAGTCCTGATGCTAGACTGAGTGAATCCATAGACACAGAAGATGACTATATGAACATGCAGCATGTAGAGTCAAGTATCTTCTTGTAATTACTTTGCATTTATTAATTCATTCATCCTCCAATAAAGCATTACACTGATTTTTACAGAAAAGGACTCTGGGGTCAGAGCTTAAACAATTTAATCTAGCTACCTGGAGCAGAGCTCAGAGATAACAAGCAGGTTGGCTCCATAGGTATATGCTTGTTACTGTTTTAACATATTTGAGTCAACCTTTATTAATATATATTCTAAAGATTACTCTGTGTGTGTGTGTGTGTGTGTACATATATATATATATATATATATATATATATATATATATTTAAGGGCCAAGGACACTTAAACAAGGCCATTATAGGTGATAAGGTAATCAAATATTTGAAGCTTAAGTGTTGTGGGGACAAACTGTATTTACTTTCTGGAATCAGGTTCTCAAGCTAGCTTCAAACTTGCTATATAGACAAGGAACTAAACTAGCTTTGGACTTCTGATCCTTTTGTCTCTACCTATCAAATATTAGGATTAGGGGAGTGTGCCACTATATCCTGCTTGAAAGATAATTATTTTTAGTTTATCCAAAGACTTCATTTATTTATTTATTCAAGGAAGGGTCTAACTACATAGCCGTGTTTGGCCCAGAACTTGCTATGCAGACCAAGTTGGCCTCGAACTTAGAGATCTGCCCACCTCTGCCTCCAGAGTACTGGGATTAATACAGTGGATGCAATAGTAAAAACTTTGCTGGACCAGTGAGTAATTTATAAGGATCATGAGCTATAATTTAGTTTTTACCAGTATAATTTTAATCATTTTTATCTAGAGATATTTTAGAGGTATAAATTACTAGAAGAGTCAGTTATGGTAGTGCATGCCTATAATCTGATCCCAGGTCTTGGGAAGCTAAGGCAGAGGATATCCTCAAAACGTAGGCCAATGAGACCCTGCCTCAACAACAGGAAAAAAAGCAATTAAGGCTTAAGAAAAAAAAAACTGAGATATTTTAATTCAGCGTCTGCCAATTTTGAATGTTAGACAAAAGGCTTTATCTTAGTTCACACAGATGCTGACTTATTTACAATTGTCCAACCACTGACCCATAAAAATAACTAGCAACTCTGTGAAGAGGGCAGTTATTTTAATTAAATAAATCATGGAAGGGAAGTGTTAAGATTACAGAACTATTTAAAACTTTCAAAGATCAACTATTGAAAACTTACTTTTGTACAAGGATATGTCTCTTTCCCAAATTCAGAGAAAGTATCTGGATTTTTCTCAAAATAATTCATACTAAACAAAAAGAAAAGTAAATAAACAAATAGCCTAAAACTCCCAAGTCTTCAAGTATGTCCACCTTAGATTTTGCTGACATCTCCTCAGGCCTGTAATATTTTATACAAGTGTATAGACTGTATAAATATATACACTGGAGATCAGTGAAAATAAAAATAAAAGGAAATTGTCAGTAGATCATGGCATTAACACAAAATAGTCCTGACTTTCCAGAGGAATGTTTACTTAAATTCAAGAATATGGTCAGAATGTAACAGAAAGGTAAAGAAAAAAATGGAGTATAAAATACAGCATAAGTAAAACCTAAGGTAAATAGAAAGCGGTGTGGTGATGGTAGTAACATAACTTAGTAATTTTGTGGTGCTCTGCCACTGACCTAAACTTTTGGTGCCTAACTTGGTACATATTGTCTTGGCATCATAGGAATTGGAATGTAATTAAAAAACAAAACAGAGAACCTTTGATTTTGCTAGGATTTCAATCGGAGATAAATGAGACTATGGTATTGTTAAGAGCACAATTCAAATAAAGATTTTATTCTTCTCTTTAAATATGTGTATGTGTGCAGCTATACACATGCGTGCAGTGGATAGATGATCGAGGGCACTGCATCCCCTGGAGATACTGTGAGAGGTCGCGTTTGGGGACTGGGAATCAAACCTGGAGCCTCTGGAAAAGCAGCGTGTGTAACTGCCGAGCTATCTTTTCAGTCCTCAAAATCACCTTTTAAGACAAATTCTGCAGTAGCTCTATATGGATAAGACTTTTCAACACTATATTCTCTCAAACAGAATTTTCACTCTCGTGAGATTATTTATACATAGAACTATGCATATAATTCCGCACCGTATAAAACCTCACATTCAGGGGCTGGAGAGATGGTGCAGCAATTAAGAAGGGGCATTACTCCTAGTAGAGAACAGAGTGTAGTTCCCAGCACTGGCAACCACCGGCCCAGGTCGCTCGTACTCCAGTGCGCAGAATCCCTTTCACACAATACACACGATTAATAAAAAGATAATAAGATCCTTTAAAAAAAACACTTCACTTTCTAGGGTTTTAAAGAGCAGTTGGAATACATTAAAACATCTAAGGTATTCTGCACGGCCAGTCGTATTCCACATACAAGTTCACTAATGTCTTCCAAGCCAAATAGCCCTCTCGAATGCCTTCGGTGGGAAAACAGCCACAGACGCTTGTTTCTAAGTGTGTATTGGTGAGACAGAATGAACAGAGACGGGGCTCCTGTCTGCTGGAGGGCTGTGTGGGTAGGCTGGTATGGTTGTATTTCTAAGACTTCCTCGACAGAGTGGGACTGTTGGGCAGCCAGGACTCGTGCAAAGGAATTTAAAGGAGGGAGGGGAAGTGATCGCTGGATCTCCTAGTTCTTAGTATGGAGGGCACATCCACACAGTGTGCTGAATGAATCAATGAATTATAACGAACGGGACACTTCGGCTTGGGGAAGATTAAAAAAAAAAAAAAACCTGGAAGGGAAAGCTAGGAAAACTGAGGACTGGGCTGAATGCTTCGTGCCGGAAAGAGGGGAAGTGGCTGCGGCTAGCGAGGGCACTGACCAGAGAGAACTCGGTGCCGGGCCAGTTGACGCGGAAGGGGATGTCGTCGCTGAGCCGGGGCAGCGCCCGGCCGCCACCGGACGCCTCCAGGAGACCGCACAGGACCAGCAACAGCGGCCCTCCGGGGACCATGCTACGCACGCCGCCGCCTCCTTCCTCCATCCTCCGTCGCCGCGTCCTCCAGCCGCCGTCACAACCTCCTCTACCGTTGGAGAACAGGTGGAGGAGGAGGAGAAGGAGGCGGCGGCGGGACCACAAAGCGTCCTCGGGGTAGGAGACCCAACCGCCGCCACGTCTCCTTCCGGAGAGCTGGGCAACGCCGCCTCCGCCCCCACAAGGGCCTCGGGCCACCGCTTCCGGGGCACGCAGCACATCAACATCCGGGGTCGTGGGGTCGGTGGCCTACGGAAGCCCGCGCTCGGATCGCGCTGCCTTGAGTTGGGCCTTAGCATCCTAGCGGTTGGACGCAGATGCGAAGGTCCGAGAACTGACGCCGGTTGGGCCGCTCCGGGAGTCAGCCCTTGAGCGGAGCGGAACGGCCAGGTGAGTTCTGCCCTGCCGCGGAGTCCACCCTCGAGGGGTAGGGCTGGAGGTGGGGGTGGGGGGTGGGGGGTGGGCGGCGGCGCCCATAGAGTAGTGTGGGGTGCAGTGGAAGTTAGCGTTCCGACTCAGCTGTCAGCCCTCCACTCTTGCTATTTCCACACTTGATCTTTCCGTCGGGAGCTTCTCTTTTTCTTTTTTTTCCTGCTGGTGACTGTTGTCACATCGGTTCTCAGCTCCTCACTAACGCTGCCCTGTCTTTGAAGACACCCAGGTGATATCTGCCATGCTACAGTGTGGGGAAACTGTGGTGCTTCGACGTTTGGCTGAATGGGAACTTGTGAGGAGGCGGCTACGCTTGCATTTTCACCACAAGGGGCTCCTCCCTTCCTTAGTTCAAGTGTTGGGCTGTTGTTATTTTGCTTAGGAATCTGGTAAGTTTCTTTAAGTTAAGACCAGAGCCAGGTGAATGTGAAGTCCTGTATTAAGTCACAGCAGACTGCATATTGACAGAAAGTTTGGATTCATCTCCCCTTCCTGAAAAAAAAGAATAATGTCCACATTTGTTTCATCTCCAGTATAAAAATTTATAGTGTTTGCCATAGAACACTTGCTAAAGACTTCCTCAAATTCGAACCAAATCAAAAAGCAGGGAAAGCAGTCAGTTTTTCATCTCTGCAAGTTTTAAAGAAAACAATATTATTCTAGAACTGACATGTATTGTTCATTAAATTAGCACTTCTTAATAATTAATTTGTGTCAGGTATTGGAATTAGTAAGCTGGAGAATAAAGGGGTTTCTGTCTTTTGTTTCTCATTTTCTAGCTTGGGAAATTATGCAAATGAATAATTATGAACTAGGGCTTGGAGAGAGTTGTTCAGTTGTTGAGAGCACTGGTTGCTCTTCTAGAGGACCAGTAGTTGGGATTCCAGCACTGACATGGAGGCAGGCTCTCAACCATCTGTAACTCGTTTTAGATCTGACACATGAACAAACACAAAACACCAACACATAATAATGGTAATCAGAACTAGAGAGTCTTGTAAAAATTGCCTTCTCGATAGTAGTAACAAAGCAGGTAACATTAATTACTTAGTTGTTGCTAATCATAATAAGAACTTGAGTTCATATTATATATGAATTCTACTCTTTACGAGTCAGGTTCTGTAGATTGTATAGTAACCAGATGTTGAGGTAAAGATACAAAGAAGGAACTGAAGAACTCCAGGGTTGGTCAGAAAAGGTGTCCAGGAGAGGTGATGAAAGACCTCTGGAGCGGGGAGACTCTCACTCAAGTCTCGGGATAACACAACCCCCCTACGAACTCACGAGAGACCGTCCTTGCTGCAATCACACGAGGTTTATTGACAGGACAGGAACCAGTGCACTGGGGCTGAAACTCATTTCCCATGCAGGGGTAGAGAGTTCGACCCCCAGTATCTGGGAGAAGGGGTATTTAAGGGAAGAAACCATAACCCAATAATCCAAAGGGGGTAGGGAGGGCGTCATTGGAAAATTCCAAAAATACCAGTGATAATTACAAGGGGGTAACTCCCTGTTTCTCAAGATTATTCTCAAGATTATAATCTAACTTTATCTTCAGCTAGTTCCTGAAACACAGTCACTGAACCGGCTAATCTAGATTTTTGATTCTTCTCTCCCTGCTTAGATTTTTGACTCTATTTTTTCTGCTAGTGGGGTCTGGATTTATCTGGGTCTTTCAGTGACAACTAAAACTGGAATTTCAAGCGTTCATAAACTTTGATTAGGCAGTAGAGGGAGTGTGTTCAATCCCTAGGTGGCCCGTTGCTGCTTTTTGGTGTGGTCAGAGGACAAGGTGAGGTGGGGTCAGCATCAGGAGGTTGGGGTTATTGAGAGAAAGAGAGAGAGAGAGGTGCTTTAGAGAGTGTTGCATATGTCTCAAAGTAGGATCTGGGCTTTTAAAAAATAGGTCAGGACTTTTTTGATCTAAAACTCTATGTGTAGCTTGGCTGACCTGAAGAAGAAATTCTTTGTTTTTATTTTATGTATGTGACTGTTTTGCCTGCCTGTGTGTCTGTGTACCACATGGGTGCAGTGCCTGAAGAGGGTGTTGGATTGTTGGGTGTTGGAATTGGAGTACAGATAATTGTTAGCCTCCATGTCTGGGAATCAAACTTGGGTTCTCCTGAAGAGCAGCTACTTCCCTTGACTGCTGAGCCATCTCTCCAGAACTCTGGTCTTGAATTTGTGATCCACTTGCCTGAGCCTCTTAGATGCAGGGGTGGTCAGAATTCTTTGAGGTGGCAGACTTTGTATTGGAATCATTTGAGCGATGTCTGTTTTCCAAGCATATAGATCATACAGAGATGAATTCCAAATGGATTAAATGTTTGTGCCAGAAAAAAAGAAGAAAACTTAGGGGAGTAATTGAATAATTGGTGTAATTTCTAATTGCTGCAGATAAACTAGGTTTATGTGAAAGAGAATGCCATTGGGAGGTTCTGCTTTTGGCGCATGGTCTCCTACTTAAGCAGTTAGTCTCTTGTGAGGAAGAGGCACTTCTGATTTCACTTGAATGATGAAAAGAAGAGCGTTACACAGAAATGTCCAGACAGAAGCTTGCAGCAAGAATGAGGTTGGCCTGTTTGAGGGACAGAGAGGTCATTATAGCTGGTGTATGGGAAGACTGTGCCAAGAGATGAAGTTGGGGAGGAAGGAAGAGGTCAGTGGGACACAGTAGGCAGGACCTTGTAGGCAGAGCAGTGACAAGGTCTGATGTGCTTTAGTTATGGTTGCTGTGTGGAAAAGTGATGTAGAGGGTTGTATGGGATGAATGTGTAACCTCCAAAATATGTGGATATTTCCTAATCCTCAAAACTCAAGTGTAAGCTATTTGGAAATTGAATAGTTATAGCTGTAATTCAACTTAAGATGAGGTCAAACTGAATTAGGTGGACCTTAATTCAGTGACTGTTATCTCCCCCCCCCCCCCCCCGGAGTTGAGGACTGAACCCAGTTTAGGCAGATGCTCTACCACTAGGCTAAAATCCCCACCCCTGACTGTTATCTTTTTAAGAAGAGAGACATTTGGTCTTAGACACACAGGGAAAATGCCGTGTGAAGAAAGCTGTCGATTTGAGTAATCTGCTTACACAAGCTGGTAGCATAGCAATAGAGAAGGAGGGGTTTGATCAGAAACTCTTATTTATCTGTGCATTAACAACAATTTTCTCTTCTAAAATTGTGTTATTATTGTATGTATAATGATGTATGAGTGAGTTTGTATTGTGCATCTCTTGGTCAGCTATGTGCAGTCACAGTCTACTTAAGAGATGCTCTGAAGTTGCAGAGGGGTTTGGGACTTTTAGGTTATAGGGTCTCATCGATGGTGGGGTAGGGTTGGAGCAGCCTAACCGTAGGAGGCTTGCCTGCAGGCCAGCTAGTGAAGCTGAGCAAAATGCTGAAATTTTAAGTTAGAAGTTTTAAGTTAAAAGACAATTTTATTTGTAAATTTGATATACAAAAGAATAGTTTTAGTAGTTACTTTTAGAAGAGTTAAAGTATTTGACATATTAGCTAAGGATTAAAAAAGTCTTCAACATCTTATTGTGTGTACAGACTGGTCGTATTACTTACTTTTCTATTGCTGTGACAAAACCATGACCAAGGCAAGCTATAACATAAAGGGTTTAATTGGGCTTACAATTCCAGAAGGTTAGAGTATAAGATGGGGAAGCAAAGGCATGGAAGCAGGAACAGCTACGAGCTCACATCTTGATCCACAGGCAGGAGGCAAAGAAAGCTAACTCAAAATGGCCTGAGTGACATACTTCCTCCAGCAAAGGCACAAATGCTAGTGCTCCCAACAGCTACCAACTTGAGACCAAGTATTCAAACATACGAACTTTTGGGGCCATTCTCATTCAAACCACAAGAGGGTTCAAGATTTTAGGACTTGAATTGCTGCAAGGTAGATCAGTAGAAAATGTAGTAAGTAATTTTGTGTGGAAAGAGAGGTGAAATGTGAACCTTTGATTGGCAGGTATATTTTAATACCCCTTTTACCCTTGTGAGGGTTTCACTGTGTGGTTCAGGATGACCTTGAACACGTGATGTTCTTGTCTAAGCCTTCCAAGAGCTGGGATTATAGGCATACACCACCATTTCCATCTGTTGTGGTGAAACGGAATTTAAAAACATGTTCATCACAGCTGACTTGGAAGAATCAATGGTACATTATAGTAATAGGATGCTTACATTGATACAGTTGCTGAGTGGGTATAGGGATGCTGTACACTTGCTCACTGAGAAAGTATTCTCCTGAGACACAATTTTTAAAAGATATACTATGGAAAAGAGAAATTTAATGCCAATGGAAAGAAATATTGGCTGCAAAATGTTGAAAAAATATCTGACAGATAAATAATAGTTCTCAAACTTTAAGTATGTTTGTAATACTTTAAGTATGTTTGTATATTGAACCTATGTTGCTTGGAATATGTGGTGTAAAGTACATTTGTAATATTTGTTAAGAATAGATAATATTCATTAAGCATCCTATCACACACTGTAATAAACATTAAAATTCAGTAGACACTATTAAGATACATAACAAGCAAGTCAGGTACTTTATTAAGAAATTACTTATTTTTCCTTATTCAAGATAAAAATGCATACTGACAGCTGTCAAACTTTTAAAGAAGTTTTAACAAAATAGATCAGTAGGTGCTTTCAAATAGAGTTGAAAGTTATCACTGCCTGTTTCTCTAGATTAACTTTTTCTATATGAAGTCAGGTAGTCAGTTGACAAGTGAAAGCAGTGTTTGAGACTGAAAAATCCGACAGTAGTGAACTAGAATAAGAGAAAATCTATGCCAGGCCTGGTGGTGCATGCCTTTAATCCCAGCACTTGGGAGGCAGAGCCAGCCTGGTCTACATAGTGAGTTCCAGAATAATCACAGCTGCATCGTAAGGTACTATCTCAAAAAAATAAAATAAGTAAAAAAAATAAAAAAACAAAC